AATATTGATTTCTTTCCTCCAAAAAATAAAATTCTCACTGACCCCAAACTTTTGAACGGTAGTGTATGTATATATTATTTTATTTTGCTCGAAATAAACTTCAATCAACCAATCAATCAATCAATCAATCAAACTTCAATCAATCAAAGTAATGTTCCTTTACTAGTAGTTACTTGACAAAAGTAATCTGATTATGTAACTCGCATTACTTGTAAATAATGTGTTACCCACACTGCATCTGACACAGACATGCATACATCTTTTTCTTCATCTCTGATGTCATGGTTGCAGTCCTGTGCATGCATTTCAGTTAGCCTATTCATCATGAATGTACAGTATATGTCTTCAAATACATGGAAAAACTCAGTTTGGATGAAATCATGGTGAATGATGAGAAATAGAGCCATCCCCCACTATGTTCTTGGCAGAGAGGGCATGAATTAAGACTCACTTGTTTGTGGTGTGTGAAATAAAGGCACTATAGCACTACAGCAACTAATCCCAGTTAAACATTCTGCAAACATATTCACTCAGTAACTTACAATGACAATAAAACAGAAATGACAATTTGCTATGTAGTCCATACAATCATTGAGAATGAAAAAGTAAACACATTTGACTCGCTATATCAAAAATATATAATGGATATTGGATAAACAACCATCAAGTCTTTTCCTAATGCAAGTATTTTATGGATTACAGATTAATTGTTAAGAGTGAGTTAAACAGCCATTAATACATGTTTAACAGGATCAACATGTTAATTTGGATAGCCTATGTGTTGCATTAAACCACTCCACACATGGTGTATGTGTGTATTGGGATAATGAGAGTGGTTTAGGGATTCAAAGGAAGTATGTTTGCTGAAGGTGGAGAAGTATACCTCAATCAGCAGTTTCTGCCAATGCCGGACTGTACTCTCAGTCAGAGTCGCAGTGATAACAGTGGGCTGGGTTTTATAGTGAGAGCAGACAGTACACTGACGTCTACACACACACATCTCACACAAGCAGACTACAATCTATTCTGCTGATTTTCTCCTTTGTGCCTTCGTTAACTAAAAGCAAAAGCTTATAAACATAAATGAGGATGACTGTTACAGTAGCTTAGAATAGATGTACAGTAAAAGTCCATCTTGCTTAGGGTTCATGTGTTTCCTTAGCAATCATTGTTCTAGACTTGCATCCATGGCAACACATGCAACAAGCACTGAGTAATGACTTACCATAGTGAGGTTATTCATTCCATAATCATAAATAAGGGTCAGTCCATCTGCGCAGTGATAGCAAATACCATCATCATCATCCCAATCTTTGCATTTTAATCTGAGCTTGATCTGAACTAACAATCAGAAGCAATCCATTTCATTTAACTCAAATTCAACTTAAACAGAACTGAAATTATTTTTCTGTTCATATGTGAGGCCTGTTTAGTAAAATGATAGTGACTATACACTCATATATCTTTAATATTTACATACGAGCAGACATTTTTAAAACTACATAATACTGTAAAATCGATAATCCTAAATATTCTTCCAATAATACTAATATCAATATGTAGATAAAAAAGAATTCCAGCTTCTTGAACTTCCCAGGAAACGCCATGGAAATCAAGCATAGCGTTAGTTCTGGCAGGTCACATCAGTCAAGCTTGCATCAGCTTACCCTCCATGTTTACCTATAGGAATATTATCAGCAGCTTTATCCAATTACCCTCCTCCATCCCCAGCTCCTCTTGTCCACAGTCAGGACTTGGCCTTCTGATATTCCTCTTCGAATCAGACTGCCATTTATCTTGATTTATTGCATTAAATTACTGTCATTAAAAACATTAATGATGAGGGGGTTATCGCTGGGCTCCCTGCTCTTTTCAATATAAGGTGCATGGATGGGCAGGGAGTTCCTGCAGAACAGAACCATACAGCCAATAACTGTATGCTAATCGTCAATCTTTTTACAATAGTGGTCCTGAAAGAAAGACTGATCTCATCAGTGAGCCTTTAGATACCTTTAATGGAAAACACAGGCAATCACAAAGCAGAATTTCAGACTATTGTTATTTTGTCTGGTTATCAAACTTACTATTTAGGTCATTTTGAAGTTAAATGCAAATATTCAGAGTAAAAAATAAATAAAATAAAAATTCCATAATTAATGCCCCAGGTTCATACGTCCTCTATAAAAGTGGTTCACAACTTCCAAGGTTCCTCACTTATGTTCATGCTCATTTTGCTGCTTCTTGATCCTGTTACTTTTAAGCTAATTTATTTTCCTGTCTTTATATTCCTTTTCGGACATCGTTGACAAATGAGAAATCACACCCACTCAATGAACCTTTCCACCCTCCCTCTGAAAACACATGAAAACGGCTTTGTTTAGTACTTAAAACAAGAAATATGTCATTTTGTCATTTAAATTTTTTAGAAAAGGTTATATTATGTATTATTATAACGTTAATATAACTTATTTTAATATAACAATTTTAAGTCATCAAATTTGCTGAAGCTGCCTAGAATGAACAAACATAAAAGAGAGCATGACAACTTCGATTTTCATCACAAGCTGTGGGATTTTTTTTATTGTCCTCAGCACGTTCAACACACTATTTGTCAATGTGTGACATGCGTCTTTAATAAAAGTAATTTAGGGGGTTAAACCTCTAAATACAAAAATCACAACATTAGATGAAAACTGTATTTCAAAGAAAACAATACTTTTGCATTTTTTGTACAGGTGTATATACAAAACAAAGGCAAAATACCTCAAAACGAACAAATAGGAAGAAACAGACCTTTTCTACAGGTGCACTAGTTGAAGAGTGCTTGTGGATTAAGTCAAAAGACCATTGGTTAATCTGTTAAAAATTAAGAATGGAAATATGTACAGATGAAAAACCCCAGACTTCTAAACAATGAAGTTTTTCTTCAGTACAAACTGTGATCCACTCAAATGATAGCATTACTCACAAATTAGCATATTATGGTGTGTATATCATATAAAACATTTGGTCATTTGTCATTTGTCAGTGAAAATATGACAACCTTAAAAGGGACTGTGTTACTGTGATACTGTTGTCTTAACATATACATAGAAAGAATAAGTACTCATGCCCCAAAACCAAAGCAAGAGAAAAATACAATACTGCCTTAGTGATGGACATTTAAAGGATAATTGGCAAATAAAGAAAGAACATTCCAGGCCTCTGGACTAGCACACAGAGAATACCACACGTTACACATCATAATAATAAACAGCTAGAAATTCATACCAAACCTTGATAAGGTCAGAAATCAAAAAGCATTTCATTGATGGTAAAAAAGTAATTTGCTAACCATTTAAGTGCCATAATACTTCTTTAACAGCCAACCAAAAAGTTAGATATAACCAGCACAAACAGTGGGATTGAGGACTGCTAAAAAAGATATTCACAGAGAATGCATATAGGCCAAATCAAAATAGGAAAGGGGATAAAGACACTGGGACACGGGAGAGGCCAAACCAAGCGAATTTCAAAGCAAACAAAAACACATGACAAAGCATTTGCATGCAATTTTCATATTCAAAACATGATTATGCCGTTATTATTGCTTTCTGCTCAGTATTGTTTTGGATAATTCTTCATTTACACACCAGACCCTGATGCTCGAAGAGGACGATTTCACTGTGCTTTTTACACATTATTTTTTTCAAACGACTGTACTATACCGCCGTCTCCTTGCAGTTTCTGACTCTCCTCCTCAACTATAAAACAATAGTTTCCCTGAGCAGTCCCAAAATACCCTTTAATGAGGTCAGATATCGGATGGATTGTCTTTCACGGAACAGATACAAACAAGAACACTACAGATAAAGCAGTGCCAGCCCTTACAAAAAACATTAAACAGAGATGTTAGATCGGAACATCTTTACTAAGGTTATTGCTTGTCCTTGTATGTAGGCTGCGTGCTAAATGCATTCAATTTGGTTCAAATGCGTGTTGGTGAAGGGGCACAAAAGTGTTGACACAAAGTTACTGTGAAAAAAAACCCCAAGCCTGTGTACACAGCTGCAAATTAAAGAATGAAACGAAAAAGTGACTATTTTTATTCTCTCCTCTTCCCTGATGAGCATTACTAGGTGCAAAGCAAATCTCAACATGTCTCAAAAAGGGTCAGTTAGGAACAACGTCAACCACCTCCATCCACAAGACATTTAATACAAACTGCTAGATCCCCTGGAATGTCAACACACGCCCCTCGTCTGTCAATCATCTCTCTACTCAGCTCACTTTGACGGAAATCTAATTACAGAATCAATATGGCACAACAGGGCGTCACACCACTGTCTAGACAACGCGAGCTGGCTTAAAAGACAGATTTGACAAAACACAGACAAGTATTTCAGATCTCACAGATCTAAAATAACAGCATGTCCCTTCAGATTTTTTCACAAAATGAATTCAAATCGTTTATTGCTGGGAAAAACACAAAGTGCTACCTTTCGTTAAGTTCTATACATCATACATTGCATGATTTAACTAACCATATAACAAGTATATATGCACGTATTTGAGCTCACTGCCTCAGAATATACCATTTGATCATGAAAGTTTAGTGATTCAGGTCTCATAGTTTGAGTCCCATGTCATGCCTTGTCCACTGTTTTCTCCTGCGGCTGGGGCAGTGGTTTTGCCGAATGATGTCCCTGCTGAATGTCTGTATAGTGGAAGAGGTCAGTAAAGGGCAGTGCTGTGATGCTAGCACCAACATGGGTGGTTCATTGTGCCATCGGAGAAGAAAGACAGGGATTTCAGCTCCAGATGTTCATTTCCTGTCCCTGCCTACCCCAGCCAGACACCTCATTACTCTCTATGGCCGGTAGAGGGCGCTGCTGGGGCAGTTAAATGCAGTGGGCGTGTCCACTGCGATTCCCATACAGTCGGAACAGGAGGCTGAAAGATAAAGCTGTGGGATTGAGGAACGCTCTGATTCACATTACAAAATATCGGCCAGTTTCCCCCCCCCCCTCGCATCTATAGTTTCCTCTTCTTGTCAGCCTTCTGGTGCACGGCCAATGGGGCAAGTTAAAAGTGTAGCTGGACTCTGAGAAGTGCTTTGTGAGAATGCAGTGTACATGAAGTGAGATTAGAGTTCTTGTCAGCATGTTAGTATTATCTCTCTCTCTGTGTCTTTTTTTCTCTGCATCTGTGCAGTATTAGGATAAGTCTCTATCAGGCCTCCTGAGGCAGAACCTGCTCAAATTCTGAGCCAAACAGCTCCTTATAGAGTGGAGGGAAGCGTGTTTGGACCGTTTCTGGGTAAAGAGCTCTGAATGCGCTCAGTTTCTCCATGTGGCGACGGCATAACATCCGAACGGTGGACACTTTACAGACAAGCTAAAGGAAGGGGATCAAAAATAGAGAAATTTGACTTAGGTAGACAACTTCATATTCACCAAAGCTGCATTTATTTGTTTATTTTAAAAACACACATACAGTGCATGTAGAATTATTAGGCACGTTGATTTTCTGATTAGATTTTTTTTCCAGGCACATTTTACCAATTCCAAACCACATTAATCTTAATAACTACTATTCATTTTGTATTTACTCATTTATAAATGATATATAATTGTTCATGAAGGCTGGAAATGAAAAACGCATTATATTCAGGTGTGCATAATTATTAGGCACGTTTTCTTTTATAGATGAAATAAGCCAAAAAATAGATTTAACTCGGACTGAAAAGTAAAAAATTATTAAATGCCCATGAGGATGCAATATTAGAAATTGCAGTTAAGGCATGACTATTGGACAGTGAAATGCTCATTGGTTCAGCAGAGTCAGACAAAAACAGGTGGAGAAGAAAATACGCATGTTAACTGCTAAAGAATTAAGAATTAAGATGAAGAATTACGTGTGAAACCATCAGGAACCCTTTAGTCTGAAGAATTCATCTTCCAGAATCTGGCAGTAAGCTTTGGGAGTTCATTTTTAGTCCATCTCCTACCCTGAAGTCCGTTTTGCTGAGATGGACTAAAAATTAACTCCCAAAACTTACTGCCAGATTCTGGAAGATGAATTCTTCAAACAGTGGTACAAGAGGATGTGGTGCTGGTCCTTCAAGAGTGACTCTCAATCAGTCTGTCAATAAAGCCTATAAAAAATTCATGTATTTTTTACTACACTTCAGCCTGTGATTCTTATTAAGTGAGGGTAATTTTTTAGGATTCTTTACCTAACCTCAGTTTCCGAGATCCTGACACCTTGCACTTCTGGAGACTCTGGGTAGGTTGCAGTTCTGGAAAATGGTGGCGCTGGAGACTAAAGGGTTCCTGATGGTTTCAAACTTAATTCTTCACCTTAATTATTTAGCAGTTAACACGTGTCTTTTCTTCTCCACCTGTTTTTGTCTGACTCTGCTGAACCAATGAGCATTTCCCTGTCCAATGGTCATGCCTTAACTGCAATTTCTAGTAGTGCATTAGTATTGCATCCTTCTCATGGGCATTTAATCATTTTTGACTGTTCAGTCTGAGTGAAATCTCTTTTTTGGCTTATTTCATCTGTAAAAGAAAACGAGCCTAATAATTAGCACACCTGAAAATAAGGCGTTTTTCATTTGCAGCCTTAATGAACAATTATAAATCACTTATAAATGATTTAATACAAAATTAATAGTAGTTAAGATTAATGCGGTTTGGAATTGGTTAAATGTGCCTGGGGAAAAAAAATTCTCAGAAAATCAACGTGCCTAATAATTCTGCACGCACTGTATATGTAATATACTGTACATATAAATATAATAATATATATATACACATACTATATATATAAACTTTATTAGTTATTAATCGATTTCACAGCACTAATATAAATACAGTATATATGTATACATACACTATACATTCAGTTTGATGATTATAGTGACAAACAGTGATCCGATGAGTAAAACTAACTAGTATAATATGAATGTAACCGCATTCATGCGCGTATGTACCTTTGTGAGAATTCCCTCATCCCTCTGGTTCTTCTGTAGGAGGTTCTGCAAGGCGATCTTGATCTTCTGCTGGAGTTTCTCCACTCTGGTCTTCTCCTGCAGCCAGGAGCGATCTACACACACAAAAACAGTTCAGCCCCTGCACAGATTCAGCAGGGTTGGGGAAAACTGCATTGGTCACACCCCAGAGAAAGTTCAATTGGAATGACAGGAAGCAGAATTAACTTAATCAAAGAAATGATGTAATGTGTTCTGGAAAATTAAGTGTTCTTCCACAAAAGTTTATTTATTAAATATGATTAAATATACACTACCTTTCAAGCGTTTGGGGTCGGTAAGATTTTTTTAAATGGTTTTGAAAGGAGTCTCTTTTGCTCACGAAGGCTGCATTTACTTGATCAAAAACAGAGTAAAACCAGTAATATTGTAAAATACAATTAAAAATGTTTCTTTTGTAATAAATGTTAAAATGTAATTTATTCCTGCGATCACAAAGATGAATTTTCAGCATCATTACTCCAGTCTTCAGTGTCAAAAAAAGTCTTACTATTATCAATGTTGAAAACAGCTTAATATTTTTGTGGAAACTGATTAATTTATTTTAGGAGAACAATTTTTGTTGTTGTTACAAAACCTACCATAACATTCAAATTATAATTCTGAATGAAGTTTGCAACTTAAATAGGCTTTATGCCAAACGTCACATGAATAAAAAGGAAAACGGAGCTCATTTCAGCGTTAAGTGTAGTACGAACTGAAAGCGATAGCTATGGACTTTTAAGGTAATCAGCTAAACTAGATAGTTCTTTTTATTGTTGCCGTTTTCGATTTAAATATCTAAATGTTAGTGAGAAGAAAAATAAAAACCTTTTAAATATTAATCTGCATATGCGATGGACATCGGTTATGCTCATCTTTGCTTGCTCCTTTGAAGGTATATTAAGTAATATGGCTCTATATAATAAACAAAGCACACACCAAAGGCCTGAACTGGAAGTGATGCAACCGGTTTTACAGAAAAGTTTGTTGCACTGGGATTTTCAATTTTATTATTGAAGGTGCACAACCTTGATATTCAGAGAACGCAGAATTAAAGCCTCTGCATAACTGATGCAATCCCAACTCCCATTAATGAATCTCTCTGACATTGCCTTTACTTTTCTTCCCTCACCTGCAGACATCAGCACGTATGATGAAAACAGGCCAATCTCATCCTCACTTAGCTCTAGAGAGTTCAGGCTCTTAGCAAACTCAAACACAGAGGTGATAAGATCATCACAGCCTAGAAAAGCATAAAAACAGTGGTTAATGCTTTGCATTTCCATTTGCAATTTCCTTTTCCTTTAAAAAAAAGAATCCAGTTCTTAATGCGCACCCAGAGCTTTGAAGACCTCCGGCCCAGCATATTTGCTGTCAAAATAGACAGTGTTGTTCTGGGAGTTATATGCCCGACACATCCTCACAAAGACAACTTCTAAAGAACCTGGGAAGCAGAAAAACACAGAAAAAACATTTTTCAGTGGTTCTGCCACAGTTTGTCACTTCATTGATGTACTGTTGCTGGTTATGTGAACTAGGATATGTTTAGAGGTTTATCTGAGGTGTACCTGCTTTGAGCAGCACGATCTGATCATTCTGACAGAGCTCCATGAATCCATCAATGCGCTTGGCAAACTCAACCACATACTGCACAGCTTCGGTGACTTTAACCGCACACAGCTGCCACATGTCCTCCTGAGACTAGATGGTGCAGAGAGAGGGTCTGTTAGTACACACACCTGTTTATTCCCCATAAAAAGCACTCATCCATTTGTCTGTCCATCCATTCATACATACATGTAACAACAAAGAGGAAATGTGGGGAAAACAAGAAATAAACTAATTAGCACAAATGTGTCCTTTTTTAAACTTTTATCAAAACGCACTACTCATAATACATAGCATATGACGCATGCAGTCGCTCCTATAGTCGACCAAATGTTAGTCGATGAGAAGAGGCTTGGTCAACCAAGGCTTGGTCAACCAAATTCCACAGGAATTGGCGAAGTCACGTCAGTTCGTGACAGACAGATCGTTAACACAAATGGTCCATGTGGTAATTATGTCAGGCAGGAAATCCAAACGTTCGGCTATCATTCATCAACATCAAACATGGCTTATCATTTAAGAACATTTAAGTAGTAGCCTTATGTTAGCCACTTTACACGGCCGCTCGCTCTAACGTTAAACTAGGCGCATATCTAAGTGTTTGTGCGAGTGTGGAAGCTAAATTACTCCCACACTTAAATTAATCATTATTCAAATTTATATCATAAATGTGCGATTATTCGACTAATGGCTTAAATGAATGACTACAAGTTGACTAGAAACATCTTTGGAAGCTCTATAAAATCCAGTGGTGGTCATTAAAGGGGTCATATAATGGTACATGCACTTTTACAAGTTGATTGTACTGAAATGTGTGTTGGCAGTGCCTGTACACAACCATCATATAATGATAAAAATCCACCCAGTGTTTTTGTTTTAATCTCCTTAAATGTTTTCCCCTGCCTCAAATCAAGCCGTTCGACCGTGTGACATCACTCGACACTCGAGCCCCTCCCACGATTGTTGATTGACAGGAGCGTTTCAACACAGACCCGCCCTCGCTCATGAGGGAGCTGTCAATCATAGTCTGCGCGGACATTGTTGATATGCTGGAGCACTGTCTATGAGCAGAATGGCGTCTAAGCGATTGTGGTGTTCTGTTCTTAGGTGCAATAAGGAACCCAGCAGTCATTTTAATGTTCCTAAATCCAAACCGCTGAAGACGCAGTGGCTGAGTTTGTTTTCGAAGGGAATATTCCCCACGAGCAACGTCAATGCTTTCATGTTTGCGCGAATCATTTCACACACCAGATTGCTTTATAAACGAGGATCAGTATAAAGCTGGTTTTGCTAACAAGCTGCTCCTGAAAAAAAGGATCGGTACCAGATATTCGTGTTCCTGCTGAATCTCCAGAAGAACGGAAGTGAGTGTAATGTTTTATTAAACTTTATATTAATCTTTACAATTAATTAATATACAAATCGCTAGCTGCACGCTTCACAATGAATGCGTCTAAGGTTTACACTCAGGGTACATTACGGCATGTTTTCTATGTATGACGTTCTCAATATAATTCATAATCCCACGTTTATACTGAACAACGCGTTATGGTTATTGTGTTATTGTGTTACAAACGGTGTACACACAGAACAGAGGGGCAGGGTGAGCAAAGCTCATTATCATTTAAAGTCATATACACTGAAACGGCGTGCTGAAAACAGAGCTGTTTTTTACCAGGTAAAATAAGTGTTTTCTTACAATACTAATGAGAATTTTTAATTAAAGTATATTACAAACTTTTAATTTAGAGCCTAAAGAATCATATTAGCTTGTACAAAAATGGTATTATATGACCCCTTTAAATAAATGTGAGACATTAAAACGATTGGTCTCGGCTGACCACTTGTGATAAGATCATCCGAGATGTTAATACCAGGTGTGCACAGAGCCAAAAAGACATAACCAAACACCTTCTTTTGGTACGTGTCCAGGTCGGTCTGTAAGACTGTCTGCCAATTGCTGGGCTGTAGTTCCTCTCGAAGATACTGGCACGTCTCCAGGTGAGACTTGCAGATGTTCTCTGACAGATGTTCTGTGTTAGAAACACACAAATAGAGTCAAACAGCTGGAGCTGACACACATTCCTGGGTTTGTGAAATGCACATCAGATATTTTGAAGCTGAATATTATTGCCGCATTACATTTTCTAAAACAAATTCATTAAGACTAATTTCAGTAAAAAGGGAAAAAAAAGTGCTCTGGTACTCTTTGACTGGTCTGTGTTAATGAGGCACTTCTTACTAATGACATGTTAAATGGGCCATGGAGGTGAGTTCACAGACCCCTGCTGTTTCAAACCCCACAGCTGTCAATCATGCCCCTAATGGCAGCATCCTTTATAATTATTTAGGGCGGCACAATGTAATTTAATTTGATATTTCCTTTCTTTGCAATTACGTGCCAAATGATGCCAACATAACTAATAGTAGATAATAATAATAGAAAATATTCCGTCTTTGTACATCTATGATGTATTAAATTCAAGCATCCAAAATACTTTTTTTTTTTTTATGTGAAATATATATTTTTGCAAGTGATTAGTATTTTATAATTGTTACCTAGATCACTGTCAGGAGGTGAAGATTCTCCATTGCTATAGCAACAATATTGATCCAGGCCAGAGTCTGAGCTAAGGTCGCATACAGGTTCTAGTTTAATGCCATCCATGTCTAGACCTGACTGGTCTGGAGAGGGCTGAATGTCCAGGTAAAATCCCCCAATTGCTGGATCTGCCTTTCCCTCCTCTGGGGTCTGACCATTCACGTATCCACTGAGGTCATCTGGGAGCTCTGTGACGCCATTGGTGGACAGGGCGTAAGAGGGTGTGAGTGGCTCTGCCTCTCCTGGAGGTTGAGGTTCCCGCCCCTTCTCTGTCTCATCACCCATTTTCTCCTCCTGCTGCTGTTGGCGGTGTTTCTGAACTTCTGCGAAAAGACTGTCCCTCTGCTTCTTAGACATGCGGCCGAACTTCACAGCTGCGAGTGACCACACACAAGCAAGATGAAAGCAGTCGGTTAATCATTAAAGGGATACTTCAGGATTTAGCATTAAGCTTTGTATTAGTAGAAAACCTGTAGTATTTTCAAATTACTGTGCTTTTCACCCTCATATCTCCCTGAGACGAGAGATTTATGTATTTTTTGTCTGGAAAAAATCCTCCGATGACGCAAAAATCGTCATTTTTGCGTCATCGGAGGATTTTTTGGCCAGAGGCTAAAGACTACAGCCAGTAGTAGGAGCTGTCCCGCATGTTCTCAACCCGCCCATAGAGGGTGGGATCTCACTCACAGAATGTACACATAGTGTCAGACATCTTTTTTGGAAGCTAAGCTAGCAGGCTCTTGTTCTGTGGAGAAAGCTGAGTAACTTTGTAGGAGAAAGCTGAGTAGTAGGGGTTACCATTCATCCTCTTTTTCCCGGACATGTCCGGCCGTCGAGATCGTACAAAATGTCCGGGATTCAGCTTTTGCTTTCTGCAGTTGCCATTCATTGTTTACATGCACACACCTTTTGTTTTAATCTACGGTAACTGAATTCATTCCGATTGGTGAATCTGAATGTAGTGTTTACATGAACGCTAAACAAGCGATCGGTTGATGTGGGTTTTAACATTGCTAAGAAAATTTCCGCTCCTCCGTGAGAGATACGAGACCGGTGCGTCTCACAGGTGTCGCTCATCAGTAATCACGCCACCGGCCTCGCGCCGTTCTCCCGCGGCCCTAGCCTCGTCCTGCTCGCCACAGTAAACATAATGAATGACGACTGTAGAACGCAAAAGCCGAATCCCGGACATTTTGGGCGATCTCGAAATCCCGGGCAGACTCATCACGGAGACTCACTAGTAGCCTAGACTTGTTGTTTAACTACTGCGCTCTGTTACTGGTAGGCGTGGCCTCCTAGGGCAGCGAAGCAAGTGCATTCTGGGAGTTGTTGGCTTTCATCCACATAAGCCAAAAATACATTTTCTGGCTTTTCTCAGTCTTGAAAGCTCCAAATTCAAAAATAATTTCACATTTCTTCTACATAAATTACCCATTTTAAATACACATTCATCTTTCCAGAGGTGAAGTATCCCTTTAATGACCTTATTATCATACTATATGTTTTAAAGCATCGGTAACGCTTTACAATAAGGTCCCTTTTGATTTTAATAATGTATTAGTAAATGTTGGGATAAACATCAACTAGGATTAATAAATGCTTTAAGGCCCCGATATACTCAAGGCAAAGTTCTTTTCCATTCTTTGATTAGGGGTAAAACAAAGTGCGAAATACGTGAACAGCGATTTACTGTTAGCGAACATCCGACACCGCCAACACTGCTGAGAGCGGCGTTTAGATGAATATGTAAATATGTGCTGCGTGCTTTCTAGGGGTGTAACGATATTCGAACCGAACCGAAAAAACCGCGATACAGAACACACGATTCGAATCGCGATACTCTCATTGCGTACCGAGCACGCCCCTCCGCGCCCCCTGCTACCCCGGCCCCGCCCCCGCCCCCGCCCAGCCCGGCTCAATGGACCTCATGTCTTGTGTACAGTACACAACGAATTCAGTTTTGTAGCTAACCACCATTAACACCAAATAACAAGCTCCGTGTTTTGTTACTTTCGATAATAAGCAAGGTGTAATCTTTCAAATTTGTCTATTTGATACGAAATTCAAACAATAAATGGCGTTTTGGCGCTCTTTGATGTGGCGTGACAGATCGCTCTATGCCTACTAAGCTCCTCATTTCAAACGGCAACGCGGCGCGCGGGTAAACGCGATCATCTCTTCCTCAGTTACGGAATGGACACCTGAAGGTATGTTGAAAGATGCAGTATACTTACTGAAAGGCATCATAACTCGTGTAATCGCTCAATCAGTGTTTCAGCAGCGGAAACGTCAATAAAACAGCATAGCTTGTCACTAGCATTATATTTACCTCAACAGGCAAGTGATTCAGTGTCCACAACTTCCTATAAATGGTTCCTATAAATGAACTCTTGCACTAAATAAATGCACCATGTTAGCCTTTTTTACTTTTTTTAATTTTACTTAACCTGTTAATGATATCTTGATTATTTAATGTATGTTTAAAATATCTTTCATGAAAATGACAACTGTGTAAAGTATTATATTTCAATAACAAATTAGAGTAAAACACAAGTTAATGCAAAAACTGCCTTATGTTCAGTTTACATGTTTTCATACAATGTGTTGTGTGTTGATTATTATATCTAAAAAATAAATAGCATCTGAATTTAGGTTAAAAGTCTAGGCTACAACCTTTAATGTTAATGTGCGGCTCCCTATATAGTTTACAGATTTAGCAGATTTCTTTTTAATCCTTGTGAAACGTTTAATTGTAATTGAATTAATTTAAAGACAAAGACAATTTTTTCATTAAACCACTGTTTAAAAAAGAAAAGGAAAAAAAAGAAGCAATTTTAGCTTTCTAAACCGAACCGAATCGAACCGAACCGAGACGTCAAAACCGTGGGAAAACCGAACCGTCAATTTTGTGTATCGTTACACCCCTAGTGCTTTCCTCTCAATAACAAAATAAACACACAACAAAATTGAGAAAACAGCAAGTATTTTAAAAAAGCATAAGTAAATATCTGAACATAGCAACATGGATATGTTTGCATGAGCTCTGCAATTCGGGACTCTAGTAAAGTCACGTCATGTTTATTTATATATCACTTCATACAATAAATTGCTTAAAATCAAGCAGCGTTACTGTATTAAACATGAAAAACAGTGTCAGTGTCTAGTTTCATCAAAAGGACTACTTCATTTTCTACTATAAAGCACTGCAAAACATGCAACTGAAATGGAAACTGAATTACAAAATATTTGAATAAATGCTTTGTTTATTAATGTTTAAATGTTTTAGCATATGCCTTTAGCATATGCCATTGCTTAAAAACATCAAAGCTCATGGTAAGTTTCTCTATGGAGAAAATGAATGGGATTTTTACATTATAAACCCTACTGTCACACTCTATATAACTGGAGAGAATTGGATACACCAGCAGCCACATGCACATCACTCAGACTACTGTGAGAGTTGAGAGCATACCATCTCTTGACATGCCCACTGCTAAGCATTTCTGCAGGCGACAGTGCTGGCAGCGGTTTCTGCTGGTCCGGTCGATCAGACAGCTCTTCTGCCGAGGACATGAATATGACACAGTGCCCTGCTGACTCCTCCTGAAGAAACCCTGGGAGAAAGAGAGAGAGAGAGAGAGAGAGAGAGAGAGAGAGAGAGAGAGAGAGAGAGAGAGAGAGAGAGAGAGAGAGAGAGAGAGAGAGAGAGAGAGAGAGAGAGAGAGAGAGAGAGAGAGAGAGAGAGAGAGAGATTGAATTGAATTGAATTGAGAGAGAGAGAGAGAGAGAGAGAGAGAGAGAGAGAGAGAGAGAGAGAGAGAGAGAGTGAACAACAATAGGTCCTCTAGCTTAAACTTTTGACATTTGCAGCACAATTCAGATTGATTTATTAACTCTTTAATCAGTCCAGTAACTAAATAATACATGTGTCTATACCGATTACTGTGGCCATAACATTCCAGTCGCATATTTCCATCCAAATAAGGGACTTTTTGTGTGCATTTTTATGCCTCTCTTTCCAGTGCAGTGGTGCGTTATGTGAGCTCCAAATGAACTCGGATGCATGAAGAATGCATGAAGTGTAAATGCCTCTAGAGCACTAAGGTGTGCGCATGCACCTTCTGTGGTGGTTCGTGCCACACTCACATGAAAGTATAAACAAGGCTTTGGCATAGCATTCTGGTTTCACTTTAATCTTTTCGTCTGTGTGTGTAAATGGGAAACATTTTGGCCATAATAATTATAAAATGAATGAAGGTGAAGAATTTGGGACAGAAATATATTCTAATATTTGTAACTGAAATATTAATAATAATCTACACAACCATTCAAAAGATTGAGGGTGAGGATTTTTGGGGTTTGGGGATTTTTTTTTTATGTTTTGGAAATAAGTCTCTTATGCTCACCAAAGCTGCATTTATTTGATCAAAAAATACAGTAAAACAGTAATACAGTAAAATATATTACAATTTAAAATATTTGTATTATATTTAAAATGTAATTTATTCCTCTAATGGCAAAGCTGAATTTTCATTATCATTATTCCAGTCTTCAGTGTCACATGACCCTACAGAAATCATTCTAATGTGCTGATTTGATGATCAGGAAACATTTCTTATTACCAAAGTAGTTGCGCTGCTTAATATAACCATGGATTCTTCTATGAATGGAAAGTGCAAAAAACAGCATTTATTTGTAATTTATTTTGACATTTTTTGCAGCATTACAAATGTATTCACTGTAACTTCTTATAAACTAAATGAGTCCTTACCAAGTAAAAGTATTTTTCCATGTATACTCTCACACTATATTTGCTTCTATTTTAGAACACTTGATGATTATCTAATCAAAATAACAAAATATGTATTATAGTGACGATAAAAAAAAACTGAAATCGAATGCATTTCTGATCTGTTTATATGTTTCTGCAAGTTGCATGACGATACGGTTTACTCTATCACTAGCACTAGCTTTAAATATGCAACTTCGCTGCATACCAAATGCATAAAAGTGACCAGCTGGATATAAACTAACGTAAATAGATGGTATCAAAACTATCAATCGTGACAATAAACATTTGGGTCAGGCTTGCGTGAGTTTCTGTCACATTGTTTTAACCGCTTGAGGTGCTACTAATGTTTGCGTCCTCTCAGCCTCGATGCCAAACATACTGCTGTTCTCCACTAATGAAGCATCTAGTCAACAAATTAATTACTTTAGAATGATATGAAAACACATACGGTAGTGTACTGTATACATATTTTTTTTTGTCTATGTTTTAAATCCGTATCTGTGCAACGAGCAGCCTCACGTGTCAAAACAAACACCACAAGGTGTCAGTGATTTCGCCTCTACAGGCCGCTCTTATACCGTATAATGACAGCGGGCCCTTCCCAGCCGCTCCAGCAACGGACGCAACCCGGAAAAACAATAAGTATGGAAATTTGCAGATAACTGATTGTTCCAGCAATCCACCAATCGGTCGACCTCTATTTTAAATGATAGTATATAGTATAAAAAAAGATTATGATTTTAAAGAAAATGATCGACTGAGATGTTTCTTTTTCTGGTTGTCTTACCTTGCATCCCTCACAGGTGATAACACCATAATGGATCCCTGATGATTTATCTCCACAGATTTTACAGGGAATACTCTCAATCTGAGCTAAAAAAAAAAGGGAAAAAAAAGACAGAAAGACACTTTTAGGAAATTGAGAAAAAACAAAACAGTTGTCATTTTCTTTTTCTATGCTAAAATACTTTTCCCTGTGCCAGCTTAACATGCAGAGACAGCTATAATTAAGGAAATTTGTTAGTAAGTTTCCCATGAAATACTGTGAGGATTTTAACATTGCGCTGTTTGAGCGGCCCCACCATCCATAGCAACACTGGTTCAAACAATTGGCATGAGTTTGGGCTTTTTGTTCCATACAACTAAAAACGTGCGTTTGATAAACTTGTTTGGAAAAAATACTCCCCTCCCCCCCACAATTCTATTTAGTGCTGCGAAAATTACAACGTAAAATCTAGACTAAAGTTCTTTGGCTATCTGTTTTTATTCATTTAAACTGATCAGCAGAGACCATAATCACATCAAGACTAATTCCACAGCTCCTGACCTCCTGAATTAGCTAACACAGAGAGAACAAGGCCTGAGGTTTGTTGTGCAGAGTGTAACCTCAGGCTTTAGCTACTGTAGCAGAACAACGGTAAAACATATATATATATATATATATATATACATATTTTTTAAACGAATCCAGGCAGCACCACACAAACCACTCCATTTATTCAAGCAGAAAAAATGGCTATGACTATTGAGATCACCCACGGGACTGACATCATCTGTAAGTACAATCTGCTCTCCTAACATCCAACATTCATTTGGTTAACAACAGTATGACAATGCCATCCTCCCTCAAGCTACGAGCTTGCTTCATGATAACGCTGTGGTGCATTTCAGTAAATATCAAAGTCAAAATGCACTCCTAGTTGGAGATGGCGTCTGCTTGCTCTGGATTGTATGCCGTAGTCGTGCATGAGTCCCTCAGCGGCACGGCTGCGGTTGGTTGTGGAAGAGAACGTAGAGATGGTGTGCAAGGCTGTTGAGAGGGATGCTGGGGGAATAGAGCAGGAGGAGAAATCCATTTAGAGAAGAGCAATGCAGTCGTTCCGGCAGCCCTGAGGCGCATACAGTACAGGATGAAAAAGTAAAATGCATCTCATCACCAGAGTGCTCTCTCTTTTCTCTCTCTCTCTCGGTCATAGACTCTTAAGTTTTTTTTTTTAAGGACTCTATTTGCAAAGGCATCGGAGTTTGAGAATGACTATTTTCTCATGATTCCAGAAAGGGCTAATCCCCTTTGGTTCTGCATGCCGTATTCATTAAGGGCATCCTCACTCTCTCTCATTAGATATGTAAAACCAATCGGCAGTAATTAGTTACTCCAAAGCACAAGACGCTAATCTGGTCTGAATTATGGATTAATACATCAAAGCCACATTCTCCCAGAGCAGCCGCTAAAGTCTTGCAGCAGTAGGTACCGCTGTTCGGCTCTGATGCAAGGGCACGCCTTACAGAGCTGCTATTTCAGACTACAGAAAAGGAACGTTCATGAAGGCCATATACAGATGAGGATTGTGAACGCATGAACACTGCACAACAATAGAAGGGTGTGTGTGTGTGTGTGTGTGTGTGTGTGTGTGTGTGTGTAAAGAGATTTGATTGCTGATCTTAGTAGCACCTATATATCAGCCAGGCCAAATCATTTTATGATATAAAAGTTTAAGTGTTTTTATTTTATTATATTAAAAAAATTGAAATACTTACACTTTTATATCATAGTACAATTATTCGGTCTGGCTGATATATCGACACACACGGTATCTTTGTGGGGACTCTCCATAGACGTAATGGTTTTTGTCCTGTCCAAGCTCTATATTCTGTCCCCTTACACTAACCCTACCCATCACACAAAACTTTCAAAAACACTCATTATGTATGATTTATAAGCTTGAGTACCCATGGAGACCTCAATTTAGGTCCCCACGAGTCTGTGCGCATTCAGGTTTAAGTCCCCACCGGGATAGAAAACCACACACACACACAATTATTATAATTTTGTTAATACATTTATATTTTCTAATTTACAATTTTTTTAATATGTGTGCATGTGTACAGTTTATATATACACACACATAAATATAGTATTTTATAAATTATTATCTTAATATTGTATTATGCATAATATATATATATATATATATATATATATATATATATATATATATATATAGAGAGAGAGAGAGAGAGAGAGAGAGAGAGAGAGAGAGAGAGAGAGAGAGAGAGAGAGAGAGAGAGAGAGAGAGAGAGAGAGAGATAGAGATAGAGAGAGAGAAAATATTCTGTATCATAATTTTTCAAAATATAAATACCTTATAGATATCTTATACCTTACATATACATAGGCCTACACATATATATACAAGTATCTACAAACCAACCAATATTTTACAAGCGTGTACCATTATCCGCAAACACAGACTTTCAAACACACAAAAGACTCTCTTTTTCTGTTTGCAAGTGTCGCTTCCTCCTCATGAGATGTTGTGGTTTAACATGTTTGGTTTCTCTCCCGGTGTGAAAGTGCTGATGTGCTGTCTAAGTAGGAAACATAAAACACAACACCCAACCAATGTCAAAGCCTGCAGATACACACGCACAGACACACACATGCGTTCCCTCCCCCTTTGGGCCTTCTGTAATCTGTTGACAACACTGACTCACATCGGCTTGAGATAAACACTCCATCATAACAAAGGAAGAAAGAACATTCTGGCACATAAAATAGTCTTAAACTGAACCATCCTCAAACTTGAAAGGTTTTTGCAAAGACAGAGACATTATGTCGTTATTTTCTTATTACCCTAATACATATTCATTCATTATTGTCATTATCTGTAATTAGGTTGAAAATAAAGACTTAAAAATGATGTGCTCCAAGAACAAACTGAATGGTGACCAAGCCCTTTAAATTCAACACAATTAACATTCATGGCTAACCTTAATTGACACTAAATGAAGCCATGGTGTTCTATGTGTAAGTGAGTTTCGGTTCTGGCATGTCAGTCTCAGGATGAAACTCTTTAATCTTATTAACCTCTGGTCAGGATGTCAGCAGGTCACGCAAGAAAAAGAGATACTCGCAACTAGCTTTTTCGTAGACAAAAAAGATCATTGATAACCAAACATTTTTGTTTGATCTGAAAACAGTGAAGGAGGACACATTTGAAGTGCTGAAATAATCTCTAATCTCTTTGAGAAAGAAACAGTGGAGGCTCACACAGATGTTCCACTGCCCTATACCTTATCACTAATAGATAATGACAGCTGCCAGCAAGACTTTGCATTGCCTGTGTATGTGTGTGCGAGTATATGCGCGCAGTGATTCAGAGTGGGGGTGGGGGGATTAAGTAAAACACAGCCGTTGGTGGAATAAAAATCCATGCGCTCCTATGGCAGTCCACCCCTGCCTACCATAAATAGGTCAGTGGAACAACATTCCCCAATCATCCAGCATGGCAACATTCCCATGCCGTGCCAAACAGCCAACATGGCCGCCCATGTATGAGCTGTCAGAAAGACGCCATCGTATCACATCACATATTAACTTATGCTCACTGCAGTTTCAGATGGACTGAGATGTTCCCTCAAAAGCACACAATGCACATTACTACAAATCAAAAAAGATCTAATAGTCACTTTGCAATTCAAAATAGAAAACATGTAAATGAACATGCAAAACAGCACACGGGACAGTCCATGATGTTTTGGAAGCAAAACAGCCACATTATACATGCAAGAGGCATTAAGAGCTCAAAACATTAAAGAAACATTAAGATAACAGCTCAGAGATATTTCTCATGCACCCAGACACACATTTGCATGGATTTTCCCAACTTGCAAGTCCCTCTCCTACCTTTCATGGCTGTGATCATTAAGTACATCCTGAGGCTCTGTGGCCATGCAGAGGACCGTCAATAGCCTTGCCCCAAGAGCATGTGCAGGTTTGGACACAAGCGTTGTGCTGCCGACTGACTGTAGCGCTGCTGTGCCTCCCTCTGCCTGTCGTCTCTACCGCATGAGAATCCATGTGACCGTGACATAAGGACTAAAACCCTTTCTTCCCGCCCCCTCAACCCCGGAGTGACAGCTGTGCCACCCAATAGGTGATTAGTGAGCAAGTGTTTAGATGACTATGTGGTTTAAAGGGTTAGTGTTGGCTCACCTTGCACTGCTCTGCAACGTGTTCTACTGATACTATAATGTATGCAGGAAGTGATCTGTTAACGCTTCACATTATGAGAGCAAACCTAAACATTTTCCCTTCCTCCACGAGAGGCATCGGTTACCTATAGCCCTTCTCACACCATCTGTAATGATTGTCTTTTTTGACATACGTCATCACTATTACTTAATACATTACATGACCAAGGATCTAATCTAGATATGAACTAAAGACATATACAATGTGCTGAATAAATGTTTTGAGTGGACTTTTCACCCTGGAGGTGCATTGCGGCACTTTTTAAATTGACATAAGTTATCAATTTACCCAGACTTGTGTTGATTTCACTAACTTACTGCAAGTAAAGTAACTTAAAAATGCATGTATGTTTAATGTAAAAAATACATGTTGAATGTAAGAATATATACTACTGTTAAAAAATTTGGGGTCAGTAAGAGTTTAAAAAAAAAAAAATTAGTTTATTCAGCAATGATGCATTAAACGGATCAAGGCATTTATAATCTTACACAAGACTTATATTTCAAATAAATGCTGTTCTTTTTAACTTTCTATTCATCAAATAATCCTAAAAAAATGTAATCATGGTTTCCACAAAAATATTAAGCAGCACAACTGTCGTCAACATTGATAATAAGAAATATTTCTTGAGCACCAACTGAGCATATTAGAATGATTTTTCTGAAGGATCATGTGACTAAAGACTGGAGTAATGAAAATTCAGCTTTGCATCACAGAAATAAATTACAATTTAAAAGATATTAAAATAGAAAAGTAAGATTTCACGATAGTACAGTTGTTTTTACTGTATTTTTGATCAAATAACTTTTGATTTGGTGAGCATAAGAGACTTCTTTCAAAATCATGAAAGAATGTTACTGACCCCTGAACAGTAATGTATTTAGAAATGTTTGATAACATTTTGTTCCAAATAAAAAAAGGTTAATTTAATTGTATGTACATAATTATTAAGATAATGTATTATATGAAAAAAAAACTATAATGATAAATTGTTTTTTTAAAGTATAAATGTATTTGCCTTTTATATGTATATTTAATTTATTATCTGTTCTGTACATTTATTCAAATAATAGCTTAATAGCTAGAGAATTTTGATGAGATTGTTAATTTTTTTGTACATAATTATTAATAAACAATAAATTATGATACATTATTACTAAATTTTTTAAACAAATGTATTTGTATTTTATTTGTATATTCCGTAAAGCCACCAGCAGCACAGCAGTGATTTGAAATTGCATGCGCTTGCCTACAGGATAACTGGCTTATTTGAAATTCTACCCATATGTGTGTGGGGGGTACAAACACATGCGCATGTAGCCTTATACAGGTCTGGCTGAATCTGAGGGGAACGTAGCCATCTGAATGCTAATGATCTGGCCTGGACCCAACACAACACCCTCTTCAATCCACTATCGCCAAAAGGTATACTCTGCTCAAAGAAGAAGCCACACAGCTAACTGAACCAAGTATCGTGAAAAAACATCTCTGCGGTTGTGAAAACTATTACGCAACACAGAAGCTGTAGGTAAGAACCTGCTGGCTAACCTTATCAGGTAATCATGTTTCAAAGATGCCGGCTATGTGACCTTAAAGCAACAGTTCAGCCTAAATGAAAATTCTGTCAACATGTACTCACACTTCAAACCAACATGGATTTCTTCTGCGGAACACAAAACATGAATTGATGGTTGGTTGGTTTGTTTAATTATTTATTCATTCATTTTAGTTCAATCTAGTTCAATCACCTCATGGACCACAGTTTGAGAACCACTGCTTTAAACACGAGCCTCTAAATGCTGTTCCTTCTAGAAACATCTTCCACATGCTGTCCAACTGAGGACTGAATAGTTAAAATAGAGATGCTGGAGCTGCTTCTGCAGGTCTCATGTTTCACGGGCATGACAGCAGTGTGAGGATGGGGTTCTGTTGTGTGAGACACGGAGAAATGCATCCCTCTGCAATCCTGAACACAAGCCCTCACTGGGCTGGGTTTAACTTCAGCAGGACAGACATGCTAATACATGCTCCCAGCTGCTGCTTGTTTGCTTGGTGTCTCCAACACAAAAATCAAGACATGCACACGTACAAATACAAATGTGCAAACGCCTACAGTGACACTCTCACCAAATACATCTGAATGCAATATGCAACTAAGCTCGGGCATAGTACGGCGCATAAATTCGTTCTAACGTTTTTCACACTTTTCTTTTAAGTATAACTTTGCTTCCAGTATTTTCAAAGTACACAAGGGACATCTCAGCCAGTAAAGGGGATTTCAAATCATTCAGTGCACAAACAGGAAGTCTCTGCTGGTAAACCACAGAAGCATCCCACTAGTGTGCAATTATTTTTTTGAGCAGCTCCTCTCACCTTGACCAACATTTTTCTGTCATGTAGGCAAAACGTTTCAGCATGAAACCAATATATAAGAAATGACTCTCTCCTGTTTCCTTTAACACCTACATTAGTTTACAAAGGGCATGTAGAGCACATCAATTAATAAAAGAACAGAATTTATTTATGGTTTATGAATTAAACCATTTAAATCAAAATCGTTGTCAAAAGTATGTTCTGAAAACAATATAATAATATAAATAATATATAAATTTAATTAAAGGTGACATAAAAATCGGACTTTTTCCGTGTTTAAGTGCTATAATTGGGTCTCCTGTCCATCTACCAACCGAGAAAACGTGAAAAGTGACAACCCAGTAACCTCTGCAAGCATGTCAAAAAATAAGATGATCAGATTTCTCTCCCCTTCTGACGTAGGAAGGGGATCTTATTATAATATTACCACCCCTTAACCTGCATGTTTCCATTTTTTTTACAGTCTATGGTTTCCACGCATGGCGCCGCCATTTGGTTTACGCAAGGGACAACAGTTGTAACAGTGTAACCAGTTCTAACGCAATGGCAAAAGTTCGAGCAAAGCATGCAAACTGTTCTGACGTTGCTGCACAGACGAGCACAGAACGCTATTTAGAGCCTCAGATGAGACAAGAGAGCAGTGGATTCATTTTATTTTCAACAGAAATCCCCCAGAAACCGATAACTCAATGTAACTCCACAACAACTACATAAATGTATCCACTAACCATTCCGAAACGTCCAGGTGCGTCTAAAAGTTGCAACCTGTTCGTGAGTCTCTCTGTAAGGCTGCACTCCACTACTGGTTATTTCTGAGATTTTGTATGAGTGAGACTGAGATTATTCGCGCGTTTTGTTGCATCTAAAGCTCATGTAAAGAGTCGGCCGTCTTCTGAACGGAGGCGGGGAGCAGCAGCTCATTCGCATTTAAAGGGACACACAAAATCAGAGCGTTTTTGCTCACACATTCAGGGGACACCATAGATTTATATTACATCTTGTGAAAAGGGGCAGGGGCGTAGAATTTAGTAGGGACGCGTCCCTACCAATATCCAGTGACAATGATATATCCCTAGCAATAATTTCGATCAAAACTTAAAATATATTTATAAATTGATGTCCCCGTCCCCACCAATTTCAAAATCAAACCTACGCCACTGTAAAGGGGTATAATATTTCACCTTTAATATAGGTCAATTAAACTTTTTTACATAATTTTATAATGTATTTTTTTTGTATAAGAACATCAAATATTTTATATTTATTATAATAGCAGAAATAATACAATAAATTATCATTTATGAAAAATAACAAATTGTATTATATATACACATAAACATGTTTGTGTTTGAGTGTGTGTATGTTGCGTAAAAGAGAGAGATTGTACATGTAACCATGGTGTGGGGTGAGAGGAGGTGAGAAAGATCAGTTACACCACTGACAAACTGGTAAACACAACTTTAAGAAGCAGCTACACTTATATCTCACAAACGATCTTATAGGAGGTGCAACGATTACTCAGAAATAAAACCTTACTGAAAAGCGATGGGCGTTGGTGGCAGAGCACTTTTTAAACCAGAATTTATTAACACCGTCATCTAATCTGTCTATTCTTGAAGATCAAAGCATGCCTTTTCACTTTCTCACATTAACCCAAAAAATCGGATTGAACCGAAGTGAGATGGATGTCAAAGTGGGTGTCAACGTTCTCCGTTTCTTGAATGCTCAAGAAGTTTGGTGTCTCCTCCTCACTTAAATTTTTCCCTGAGCATTTGGTCTTGCATGCAAATGTTACAGAAGCATATGTGGCCACAGGAATTTACTTACATGAGAACTATACTTACACGTGTGTGTTTTCTTTGCTGAGGACACATCTGAAAAAGACAAGAAATAAAATGAATATTAAACAGGGCTTGTAGTATAGTTTATAAAGCCTTGTTGTGTATATATATATATATATTGTGTGACTTTTTACACCTCTACCTACATGAGAAATGAAAACAAACAAAAACAATTGCGATTTTAGAATAATTCCACTTTGATTTAGATACCAAAAAACATTTAGCCTTGAAAAGCTAAGGGATTTTTCAAGATGGATGCTTATGTCTAGAGAGCAGGGTGACTAGTCACCAGCCAATAATCTCAAAAAGGCAAACATTAGTCAATTAAACGTCCTGGTCAATATATTGCTAAATATAATAATAAATAAAATAATAAAATATAGTACATATATAGTGCATGAAGTACACATTCATGTTTATGTAATTGTTTGGAAGAGACCTGAAGGCACTCTGTAATCCCAAGTCGGCCCTGGCTTACGCTTTTACATTCAGGGCAACTCAGGCCAGCCAGGTCAATCACCATTAATCCATCCACTCCCTTTAATCAGGGCTATTGTACTACAGCCAGCTCTATTGTGATGTAAAGTGTCCATCTGAGAGAAATACAATCTGTCATGACTAGTGATACTGTTGAAACGAGATACAAGTGGTAAATGGCAACTGCCAATCAACAAAGCATTACCCAGTAATTTGTGCCAAATTAATTTCCATCTGCTTGTAAATTAGACTCAGTAATAAAAGAGTTCATGTCCAACTCACAGCACGAGGAAAATGAGACAACCAATAAATTGACTTTTTTCCCCCCTATGAAAGACATTAGGGTTGTCGCTGAACCAAAATTCCAGTAGTTGGTTCCAATAAATCGGTCCCAAAATTTTTTACGGTTTCTCGTACAAATTTCGGTACCAAACTGTTGGAACAATTTTACTATTTTAAATAAATATATGAATTAAATGAGTTTAATTTATGATGATAATAATTCATTCGAAGGCTACATGCTGATGCTGTTTACAAGTAAACATTGTTTATAAAAAGTAAAAAAAAAAACAGACATGTAACAAGTGGCAGGTCTATTAGTTTGCATTTACACTCTAAGACTTAATGCACATCTATTTTAACATTTTTGTTAACAGTTTTGTCCTGTCGGTTGCTATGGTTAATATATCACAGCCAGTTAGTTGGAAATCCAGAAACTTTGCAGTGTACTGAGCAGCATGAAAAACAAAACTTTTATTCAAACTGTATGTGACAAGTTATAAACAGAAAACTTGCAAAGAGCACTCCCTTTATAATCACTGAAGCTGTCAAAGTGTCAATCACTTAGACTATGTTCAGCGCCTGCTCAGAGATCTACACTCCATCGAAAACTCCCGCTATAATCAAAAAAGCTGTCTACACTGCATAACAAATCTCTTAAATCGTGTATATACTTTGTTGGTAATAATGAAAGAATTCACAAGCGTTCAGGGGCCGTATTCACAAAGAATTGTATCTTACCTCTAGGAGTACTCCTAAATCGCACTAAAATATTTTAGCGAGGAGTTTTCTCTTAAAAGTTATTCACAACGCCTTTCAGACCTACTCTTAGTAAGGAAAAATGACAACTCCTAAACTAAGAGTGAGTCATCGTTGCTATGATGACGTCAATTCTCATGCACGAGCTTCCTCGCAATGATCACGGTGATTGGTTGTTAGATGACAGGGCCATCATGCGGAACATAACACAGACACAGCAAATCATGGAATTACGACATCTAAATATGTCTGTGTCCTACACAAAATAATAATAGTAATGTCATCGAAATGCATATATAATGGCATGTTTGTGCAGGCCCCAGTTAAGTGTAATTCTAAAAAGGCAGAGAGAGAGAGAAAAGTCGTGAATTAAATTAAATTAAATCAAGGTAGCCTAATACCCCAATGAAAACCGCCACTTGCCTAATAATGAAAAAACGACACTTGCATTAACACTTGCTTGGTTAATTGACATCCTATTAGCCTAAATAGACTACTTCAATAGGAGCAACATTTCCTTGCTTTAAGCAATGCAATAGTTGAATGACGGTGGATTATGAACTCGCCAAAACGGAAAAGAAAGCCCAACTGGACGCAGGATCAGTTACTGCTGCTGGCCCAGTTGGTGCTAAAAAAAAAAAAACATAATAAAAGGGAAATTCGGCACTGGGATATCAAGCAAAACTAAGCGTGAGAATGGGAGAGGATTTGTTCACAGATCAATGCAGCATCCCCGCTTGTGTCGCGGACCCCGGACGACTGCGAGAGGCGGTGGTATGCGCTACAATCCTTTGTGAATAGGTCTTAGTGAGTTAGGAGTCATCTCGACTTCTTTTAAGCTGTCCCAGACTTAGGTGCTACTTTTAGGGCTAAAATGCTTCGTGAATTACTCTTAGTGAAAAAAATTAGGAGTCCTAAAGTTAGGAGTGACACGCCCATTATTTTTAGAAGATGCTGCCAAATTCGGCAGTTAGGAGCTACTTTTAGCCTTAAAATTCTTTGTGAATAAAGAATTTTAAGCAGCAGTAACTGATCCTGCGTCCAGTTGGGCTTTCTTTTCCGTTTTGGCGAGTTCATAATCCACCGTCATTCAACTATTACATTACTTCAATAGGAGCAACATTTCCTTGCTTTAAGTAGTCTATTTAGGCTAATAGGATGTCAATTAACCAAGCAAGTGTTAATCCAAGTGTCGTTTTTTTATTATTAGACAAGTGCCGGTTTTCATTGGGGTATTAGGCTACCTTGATTTAATTTAATTTACGACTTTTCTCTCTCTCTCTGGCTTTTTAGAATTACACTTAACTGGGGCCTGCACAAACATGTGATTATATATGCATTTCGATGACATTACTATTATTATTTTGTGTAGGACACAGACATATTTAGATGTCCTAAATCCATGATTTGTTGCGTCTGTGTTATGTTCCGCATGATGTCATCTAACAACCAATTGCTGTGAGGTTCAGGTAGTGACGTCTCTGAGCATTTAAAAATATAGGTAACACTTTACAATAAGGTTCATTAGTTAACTACATTAGTTAGCATGAACTAATAATGAACTGCACTTATAAAGCATTGATTAATATTTGTTAATGTTAATTTCAACATTTAGTAATACTTTATTAAAATCTTGTTAACATTAGTTCATGCACTGTGAACTAACATGAACAAACAAATAATAGCTGTATTTTTATTAACTAATGTTAACAAAGATGAACAAATACAGTAACAAATGTATTGCTCATGGTTAGTTCATGTTAGTTAATACATTCATGTTAACAAATGAACCTTAGTGTAAAGTGTTACCAAAGATTGTGCCAGAGTTTATGCTGGATTTAGTGCGTAAATCACACATTAGGGCTGTGCAGATGTTATATCATATGCATGTTAAATATTGCAGTTTAGATGCTCTCACTGTGATTATACTGGCTGGGTTAACAAAAGTTTTTAAAATCGACAGCATATCTTTACTTAGGGCATTCAGAAACAAAGCTTGCTTCTTTCCAACTGTAATCAATCGTATATGTGATGATTATTACCAGTGTGTTGAAAAAATAGATTAAACATACTCGCTTCAGACACTCCAAAGCTGAGGCATTTTAGTGTTGTCAGCGGCACTGCGCGGAGTTTTGCCGCTGTAGTGGATATACACCATAAAAGTGCGCACTGAACAAAAGCGGATTTTGACAAACACCTCATCTACACCGGATGTGCCATTTATTACGGACAGCTTGCAGCTGTCTACACTAGATGCGACGAAGCGACCATTTTCGTGTCCGAAGTAGTGCGAGTGCCTGAAGAACGTCAGAAATAGAGTGGGGCATCAGTTTACTGTCGGGAATGTGTAGTGTCGCACCACATCTAGTGTAGACAGCATTACTGATTATATTGGGATATATTTGCTTTTGACACGTCACATCACACCGCTTGCGTCCGGTGTAGACACGGTGTGTAACAAACACCTCTGATTGGACATTGCATTGACACGCTCAACAGATATGTCTGTGATTGGCTTCAATGCTCAACGCTTCAAAAACACGCTATAAAAAGAAACATTTGACACTCTTCACAGAGCACTTACAGAGATACACACAGGAGCATTTGAAAGCAGCAGCCTATCAGTGGGTACCGAATATACCCAGTACTCTATTACCGTCACACTTTAAAATTTCAGAACAGACTTGGTGCCGAAGTACCGGAAATCTTGACAACCATAGAAGACATATTAAGGTGGTAAATTATGTGCACATTATGTGCATTTTCATATTTAGACTTAAGCTTATTTTTCAAGAATGTACTTTATCACGGATGTGAAAGTGATAATGTTGAAAACCTCAAGTAACAGTATTAAAATGTGTATTGTTTGTAAAATGACTGTAGGATCTTAAGAAGGAGATTATAATGACTTGATGCTTAAACCAGCATATTCATTAAACTGATGAGAAGAGCTTTCTCTTTTCTTAGCTCTTTTTCATGTGTTATTTTCAGCTGGACCAGAACAAATGATCTGGCTTACGGCTTCTGAGCAGTCGCATTCATTATTCCTCTCCAGCTGAAAATCAGAATGATGAAAAGAGTGAATCTGACGGCAAACCTTTATTTATCAATCTATTTATGAAATGAAACTGAAGAGACATGAAAAAAACAAGCCCACTTTGTATCCTTTTATTCACAAAGCTAAGTAAGAAGGGGCAGCGAAATGACAGCGAATCTCCAGTCGTTGTTTTTTCCATCCATTTCTAATTGGTTTAACTCCTTGGTCTCAGTCTCAAACAGCCTACCCCCGAGTCTCTTTGTTTCTGTCTGTTCATATAGTTTGGCTCCTACGAACAGAGAGCATGTTTTTGTGGATTTGCATGAAAAAAAAAATGGCTGAAGAGGATTAAACCGCAATAACACTGAAACAGTATGAAAAGGAAAGATCAGACGGATGACTCTTAGTCATATCCTGTCAAATTTACTTGCGGTGAGTTTTTTTGCTGTTTAGATTGATAAAAACCTGTGGTTCATTATGC